GAGACAATAGTGACAGTACAGATGCCCCGATAGTGATGTTGTAGGCTTTATCGACAAATAAGACGCTAGTGACAAAACAGGGGCCCTGATAGTGATGTTGTGGGCTTTATCGACAAATGAGACGCTAGTGACAGAACAGCTGCCCTGATAGATAGTGATGTTGTGGGCTTTATCGACAAATGAGACGCTAGTGACAGAACAGCTGCCCTGATAGATAGTGATGTTGTAGGCTTTATCGACAAATGAGACGCTAGTGAAAAAAGAGCTGCCCTGATAGATAGTGATGTTTTGGGCTTTATCGACAAATGTGACATGAGCAACAGAACAGGTACCCTGTGGTGTGGCTTTTAGCAAGGTAGTACTTGTGAGGCAGAGAGCATGAGTGCTCGCCTGGGACACTCAGGGGCCAACACAGAGAGCCTCACAGGACTGTGACCCATGTCAAGACGCCATAATAGAAGAAGAGGGACAACCAGTAACTGTGATCTCTAGGACATATGATAGGACTCAGTGCATCAGGAATAATATCACCGCACAGGATATAAGGAGAACAACCTATAATAAATAACAGTCATACTCAAGACATAGGAAGCAAAGCCCGGAATACAGACACACAAAACAGAACACCCAATATAACCACGGGACACAGAAAGCAGAACAGCCAATATAACCACAGGACACAGAAAACAGAACAGCCAATATATCCACAGGACACACAAAACAGAACAGCCAATATAACCACAGGACACACAAAACAGAACAGCCAATATAACCACAGGACACACAAAACAGAACACCCAATATAACCACAGGACACCCAATATAACCACAGGGCACACAAAACAGAACACCCAATATAACCACAGGACACACAAAACAGAACACTGAATATAACCACAGGACACACAAAACAGAACACCTAATATAACCACAGGACACACAAAACAGAACACCCAATATAACCACAGGACACACAAAACAGAACACCCAATATAACCACAGGACAAAAAAACAAAACAGAACAGGACACACAAAAATATAACCCAATATAACCACAGGACACACAAAACAGAACACCCAATATAACCACAGGACACACAAAACAGAACACTGAATATAACCACAGGACACACAAAACAGAACACCCAATATAACCACAGGACACACAAAACAGAACACCCAATATAACCACAGGAAACACAAAACAGAACACCCAATATAACCACAGGACACACAAAACAGAACACTGAATATAACCACAGGACACACAAAACAGAACACCCAATATAACCACAGGACACACAAAACAGAACACCCAATATAACCACAAGGACAGGACAAACAAAACAACACCCAATATAACCACAGGACACACAAAACAGAACACCCAATATAACCACAGGACACACAAAACAGAACACCCAATATAACCACAGGACACACAAAAACAGAACACCCAATATAACCACAGGACACACAAAACAGAAAACTGAATAAACCACACAAAAACACAAAACAGAACAACCAATATAACCACAAAAACACACAAAAAACAGAACACTCAATATAACCACAGGACACAAAAAACAGAACACCCAATATAACCACAGGACACACAAAACAGAAACACCCAATATAACCACAGGACACAAAAAACAGAACACCAAAAACCAAAGGACAACCACAAAACACAAAAAACACAACACACCCAAAAAAACCAACAACCACAGGACAACAAAAAAGAACACCAATATAACCACAGGACACACAAAACAGAACACCCAATATAACCACAGGACACACAAAACAGAACACCCAATATAACCACAGGACACACAAAAACAGAAACACCCAATATAACCACAGGACACACAAAACAGAACACCCAATAAAAACCACAGGACACACAAAACAGAACACCCAATATAACCACAGGACACACAAAAACAGAACACCCAATATAACCACAGGACACACAAAACAGAAACACAAAAAAAATAACCACAGGACACACAAAAAAAAAAAAAAAAAAAAAAAAAACATAACACACACAGGAACACAAAACAAAACACCCAATAAAAACCACAGGACACACAAAACAGAACACCCAATATAACCACAGGACACACAAAACAGAACACCCAATATAACCACAGGACACACAAAACAGAACACCCAATATAACCACAGGACACACAAAACAGAAACACCCAATAAAAACCACAGGACACACAAAACAGAACAACCCAATATAACCACAGGACACACAAAACAAAACAAAAAAAATATAAACCACAGGACACACAAAAAACAGAACACCAATATAACCACAGGACACACAAAACAGAACACCCAATATAACCACAGGACACACAAAACAGAAACAAAATAAAAACCACAGGACACACAAACAGAACACCCAATATAACCACAGGACACACAAAACAGAACACCCAATATAAACCACAGGACACACAAAACAAAACACCCAATATAACAACAAAACACACAAAACAGAACACCCAAAACCACCACAAAACAGAACAAAAACAAAAAACAAACAAAACAGAAAACCCAATATAACCACAGGACACACAAAACAGAACACCCAATAAACCACAGGACACAAAAAAACAGAAACACCCAATATAACCCACAGGACACACAAAACAGAACACCCAATATAACCACAGGACACAAAAAAAACAGAACACCCAATATAACCACAGGACACACAAAACAGAACACCCAATATAACCACAGGACACACAAAACAGAACACCCAATATAACCACAGGACACAAAAAAAAACACCCAATATAACCACAGGACACACAAAACAGAACACCCAATATAACCACAGGACACACAAAACAGAACACCCAATAAAAACCACAGGACACCAAAACAGAACACCCAATATAACCACAGGACACAAAAAAACAGAACACCCAATATAACCACAGGACACACAAAACAGAACACCCAATATAACCACAAACACACAAAAACAGAACACCCAATATAACACACAAAACAACACAAAAAAACAACAGAACAAAAACAAAAACCCAATAACCACAGGACACACAAAAACAAAAACACAAATATAACCACAGGACACACAAAACAGAACACCCAATATAACCACAGGACACACAAAACAGAAACACCCAATATAACCACAGGACACACAAAACAGAACACCCAATATAACCACAGGACACACAAAACAGAACACCCAATATAACCACAGGACACACAAAACAGAACACCCAATATAACCACAGGACACACAAAACAGAACACCCAATATAACCACAGGACACACAAAACAGAACACCCAATATAACCACAGGACACACAAAACAGAACACCCAATATAACCACAGGACACACAAAAAGAAACACCCAATAAAACCACAGGACACACAAAACAGAACACCCAATATAACCACAGGACACACAAAACAGAAAACCCAATATAACCACAGGACACAACAAAACAGAACACCCAATATAACCACAGGACACACTAAAAAAAAACAGAACACCAATATAAACACAGGACACAACAAAACAGAACACCCAAATATAACCACAGGACACACAAAACAGAACACCCAATATAACCACAGGACACACAAAACAGAACACCCAATATAACCACAGGACACACAAAAACACACAAACAGAACACCAAAAAAAACCCCAATATAACCACAGGACACACAAAACAGAACACCTGAATATAACCACAGGACACACAAAACAGAACAAAAATATAACCACAAACACACAAACAAAACAGAACACTGAATATAACCACAGGACACACAAAACAGAACACTGAATATAACCACAGGACACACAAAACAGAACACTGAATATAACCACAGGACACACAAAACAGAACACCCTGAATAAACCACACACACACACAAAAACAGAACACTGAATATAACCACAGGACACACAAAAACAGAACACTGAATATAACCACAGGACACACAAAACAGAACACAAAAAAAAACCACAGGACACAACACACAAAACAGAACACCCAATATAACCACAGGACACACAAAACAGAACACTGAATATAACCACAGGACACACAAAACAGAACACCCAATATAACCACAGGACACACAAAACAGAACACTGAATATAACCACGGGACACACAAAACAGAACACTGAATATAACCACAGGACACACAAAACAGAACACTGAATATAACCACAGGACACAGGCATGTTCAGAACTGATAACATTGCACACATCTAGGGACAGTAAGCTACATCTACCGGCGCGCGCGCACACACACACACATCTAGAGACAGTAAGTCACATCTACAGGCAAGCACACATAAACAGCACACACACACACACACATCTAGAAAGAGTAAGTCACATCTACAGGCGAGCACACATAAACAGCACACACACACAAACACATCTAGAAAGAGTAAGTCACATCTACAGGCGCACGCGCACACAAACACACATCTAGGAATAGTGAGCCATATCTAGCGGCGCGCACGTACTCACACGCGCACACACACATCTAGGGTCAGTAGGTCACATTTATCAGCGCGCATGCACACACGCGCAAATCTAGAGACAGTAAGTCACATCTACAGGCGCACGCGCACACACACACACACATCTAGGGATAGTGAGGAACATCTACCGGCGCGCGCACACACACACATCTAGGGACAGTAAGTCACATCTACAGGCGCGCGCACAAACACTTCTAGGGACCAAAAAAAACCCCACATTTACAGGCACACACACACACACATACACATCTAGGGGTAGTAAGTCACATCTACCAGCACACACACCCACACGTGCGCGTACACGCACAAACATTTAAGCTAGTTAACTGGGCATAATTATAACCCAAGCTGTCTTGAGCAGGGCTAAACGTGTTCGAATATTTTGAGACAGAGATCGACAGTGATAAACGATCATTACATAACACTGCTGTGCTATGAATGAGGTGGGTTGAGGTCTCGAATAAAGTGTTTAGCAAACAGTTCATACCTTCCAAATTGTTTGGCCGCATCGAGAGTTTCCGGCAAAGCTTGGTCAGATGTCTCGGGCAGGGTCAATGCCAGTAGCCCAGCAACAATGCTGGCTCCTCCGAATATTATCAAAGGCAGAGCAAGAGAAAAGTCCCCTTCGATTAAGTGGCCCTACAATAATTTAGGAACATTTTAAGGTAAATGTTAAGAAAACTTAGTATTCATTAATGAATTCATCACGTGCTATGCAAATAGTCGTTGGCGATCATGTCATGCTTTCTGACATGATCACTGGAATCGTTGATCAGGGCTGTGTTCTCTCTTCGTCACGTTTTCAAGTCGTCGAAGTATTCCTCGTTCGCTCTCTCCCTCTCTAAATGCCTTCTTTCACTTTCTCACTCACTCTCACTCTCTTTCACTATCTCTCTCTTTCTCTCAATCTCTCACTCACTCTCACTCTCTTTCACTTTCTCCCTCTCTCTTTATGTCTCTCTCTTTCTCTCAATCTCTCACTCACTGTCACTCTCTTTCACTATCTCCCTCTCTCTTTATGTCTCTCTCTTTCTCTCACTCACTCTCACACTCTTTCACTATCTCCCTCTTTCTTTATGTCTCTCTTTCTCTCAATCTCTCACTCACTCTCACTCTCTTTCACTATCTCTCACTCTCTCTTTATCTCACTATCTCACTCTCTCTCACTCTCTCTCTTTATGTCTCTCCGTATTTTTCACAATCTCTCTCACTCTCTCTTTATTATCTCTCTGCATCTCTCACTCTCTCTCGCTCACTCTCTCTCACTTTCTCTCACTCTCTTTCACTCTCTCTCAGTCAATCTCTCACTCTCTCTTGATGTCTCTCCGTCTCTTTCACTCTCTCTCTCACTCTCTCTTTATTATCTCTTCGTATCTCTCACTCTCTCTCTCTCTCATTCTCTCTCTCTCATGCAACTTTAATAAGTTTTATTTTCGACCACAAGGAGGATAATGTCTCTGTCTTTGTCTAGTACTGGTCTCAGCAAGTTTCCCGGTGGTCACGTGTTCAAGTATGTTTCTTCTCATGCTATGTGGAAAACTTGTTAGACTGTCTCCGTACAATGTCTGCAATCTGTTTAGTCTGTAATCTATTTCTTGGCAAATTGTATCATTAGAGTCTGCAGCTAGATATTTCTCCCCTTGTTTGCCTATTGGCAATGCTATCCATGCATGCAGAAGTACACGTTCTTTTAGGCGTATTACATTATTTTTGTCAACACAAGTGACTTATTTTTAAATAGTGAGTGTGATTTTTTACTTTCAAAGACCACGACGATTGTTGCAATCGCGTCTATCTTATGTACCTCTTCTGAAATGTTTTTATCTTATCCTATCTGTTGTCATGTCCTCCTTTCATATGCTTAGTGTGAGAAGAGTTCTTTCTATACTACACATTACACGGTAGTTTGTTTGTTTGTTTGTTTCAGAAGCCATGAGTTGTTAACCCTTAGGCTCGGTATTATGGATATCGCAACGTTTCGGCCTTGATTCCATTGTAAATACTGTAAATCTGGGAGAAATGTGGCTTTTCTGCCCACCCCCGGGAGTGAACCCGGACCACAAGGAGTTCGTCATCCGGTCACCGCCCAATCCGGTTTAGCCAACTACGCTAGAGAGCCGGGCTACAAGGTAGAGAAAGACTTTTCCACCTCATTTCTGTTAACCATTGGCAAACGGAAGTTGTCCAAAGTGATACTCCAGAAGCTTAGTTCACTTTCCCTTGTGGTGTCTCCATCACTGTTTGTGAGGCTTGTGGCGTCAGTTTCACTAGGAAACTGAGCACCAGTGGCAGCTTCCATTTGGTGCAACTAATGTCCTAGAGCAGGGCTGTTCAACTAAGTTTACTCATGGGTCACAATTTTGCAAATGGGAATCGTCACGGTCCAGAAGGCTGCGCACCAGAATATCAAGATCATTTTCATACAGTAAAACAGGCAATAATCCAAGGGGTCACTAACTGGGCCTCAGCGGCGGCCAGTTGAATATGTGTGTGGGTGTGTTTGTGTGTGTGGGTGGGTGTGGGTGTGTGTGTGTCTTTGTGTGTGTGAATGTGGTAAAGATTTGTTTTAACGGTTTTTTAATTAAAATACAAAAATGTGATTCTTGGTGTGTTTTGGTGTTTTAAAAAAGCCAAAAAACAACAACACTAGATTGTTACTATTTCTCCAAAAACTTGGGCAGCCCTGACTCACAGGATGACACATACCACATCAGCGATGTATGGAGCCAAGATACCGCCCAGCCTGGCACACAGCGAGCTGATACCTATCCCAGAGTTCCTCATGGCCGTTGGAAACAGTTCCGCAGTGAAGATGTAAATGACGGCGAATCCAGCAGACGCCCCAAACTTGCCGACAAGTGACAGAACCATGGTGACCCACGATATACCTGAAATGTCCCATCATCATATGATCAGCGGAGTCAGGTTCTTTTATTTCATTTCACCCCATCTCGGGGACTCCGAGATTTCGTGGGGAGTTCCTGGGAATGTCCGATTGTACAGGTGTGTTAGTGTGTGAAATAAACACAGACTAACACTACCCCCCCCCCCCCCCCCCGCCCCCCCCACCCCCCCCCCCCCCCCCCCCCCCCCCCCCCCCGTGATATCTCGGAGTCCCCGAGATAAGATGAAGTAAAAAGAAAATAACATGGAGTAATACTTTCTGATAGCCTCAACAAATTATGACTTTATTATTTTTTAGTTGAGAGGGAACAGAAAAAAAAGGTGGGAGAGGGGAGGGCGATGGTTATGCAGTGACTTGCTAGCCAACCCGATGGTTTTAGGTTCGAATCCGCATCAAAGCAAATTCTATAATTTATAATTTACTATCCCTACCCCCTAGCCCTCCACTCAGCTTAAATTGCATATCAGGAAATGTCATGGGAAAATAAATCGGCTGGTGTGAATGAGCAATGAGGATCTAACTCCATACACACGATGCGGTGTTTAGCAGGGAGCTGGTCTTTGCTCGAGTGTAGACTTTTGGACCCTATCGTCCGTTAAGCATTTACACACTGGGAAGAGAGTTCTACTTAGCTAGATATCTCGCCTGGGATGCGCTGAGTTTCTTCGTAAATATTTGCGGTTTTCCTATTGTTACGATGTTGTGTAGTTTTCAGCTTTAAATACCAAACTGCCGATTCCTGCCTTCATTATACCACTTTTGCAGTGTAGGCAGGGCGTTCTTTGAGCCTGAGGGTTTACGACCGCAAGGCTAGTGCTATCGCCACCACTGTGCAGGTGGTTATTTTATTTTGCCCCCGACAGAAGAAAATCCCCAGCCTTACCGAGGATTCGAACCTGGGTCTCCCGCTTAAGAGCCCAGCGTTTTAACCGTTCAGCCAGCCGCTCATATATACTATGCTTTAAAACTAAAGTTTTGATTGGCTTTGTCTGATAAGAATAACTAAATGCAGCAGCCAAGAGAGCATTTAGCCATTCACTAGGGAAGACAGAACATCAACAAGATACCATATGACAATGACGGATTATTAATTAAACGTAAAATTGCTGGACGCGGTTTTTTTCACACATCCTATCTTCAAAGGTCAATAGGCAGCCGGCGAGGGATACAGTTAGCATCACACCGGCTGCTTTTGCTTCCCTTAACTTTATTTCGTAGCCATTTTAGGCTGGGTCTACCTGGGAACTAACATCGTTTTGAAAAAAAAAAAAACATTCCGACACAGTGCGGTGTTGAACCCAAGACCCCACGAATCATTAACTGCAGATCTACTGAGTTTAGTGCTTGGTTGTAGCCCTATGAGCTGTGGTTTTCCTGTGGAATGTCTTTCATTAGTGCAATAGCTGTGTCGTTGTTTATGGCCGATGGCCGGTTTACGAGTGAGCTGGTGAAATACCGTATGTAATAATTCTTCATTCATTCATTCATTCAGTAGCATGTCCCTCGCGGAACCTCGCTGCCATAACAACCCTCCGGAAAACCTTCCTATCCTGAGCAAGATGTCCTGCGTCTGATACACCCATCTGGAGATCATCTGCCACATCCTGCACCCATCTTCTCCTTGGCCTTCCTCTTCCTCTCTTCCCAGGCATATACCCCTCCATTATTGTTCTCTCTAGACTTCCATGACGTTTCAAGTGACCAAAATATTTCAATTTTATTTGTTTTATTGTCTTTACTAGCCAACCCTCTTTAATATTCAGCTCTTGAAGTATGGATGCATTTGTTCTTTTCTTTACCCAAGATATTCTTAGAACCTGTCTGTAACATTTATATTCAAATGCATTTATGCGCTGTTCCGCTTGTTTAGTAAGTGTCCAGGTCTCACAGGCGTATGTTGCAATGGGAAAGATGCATGCTCTTAAAAATCTGACCTTTGTAATTCTATCTGTACAATTCCATAATTTATTCAGTTGTTTTAGTCTTTGAAGAGCAATTGATAGTCGCCGTTTAATTTCTTTCATTGTGTCACCATTGTTGGTAACCAGTGACCCAAGATATTCGAAATTTTCCACCACTTCCAATCTTAATAATTCTACGTGTGTATAATAACCAACTTATCGTACCCGACTACTCCCATCAACAACAAAATGCATTTCTAGTGGTGATTGTTGGCTTTTGCGCCACGAGCAACTGAAATACGCATTTATTGTGTGCGCATATTTCCGGATTATTTTGGGACTTATTGTTTGTTCACCAGTTTTTCAGTTGCAACAATAAGGGACATTTCATTCGATTTTCAGTGGCACAGGAACGGGGCAAGTATGGGGAAAACCCGATTGCTGTGATGTTGAAAGATCGACCAAGACCAAGACCAACTTCAGTGAATATGTGTTTTCCAATGGTCTTAGGCGCCCCCTGGAAAATGCTCGTTCGACACCCAAAGGGAACGCGACCCACATGTTGAGAACCGCTGCTTTAGAGGATTGGATGGGGTAACTTAGATTTGGTTCATTCATAATATCCTACTCCCCAGACGACGTCACAGGACAGTCCAACATTTTAGAGAGTGGTAAGACTAGGTTTCCCGGCTTTCTGATGCTTTTAACGACCCCAAAACATCTAGAACTGACCCTCACCCCAACCCACCTACGTCCTACGCATGCAGCCTTTCTACCACCCCTTAAAATATTAGACTGTCCCGTGACCTGTGGATTTCCCCTGTATGGGGTAGGATATTAAGAAAGCACACTTAGATTTTTTTTTAACATTGGATCAGTATCCAAAATGCTACTCTTTGAAATAGAGAGGTGGTCCAACCTTGGGACAGCAACCAGCAGGGTGGGTAGGGGTGGAGTGGGTTTGAATATAGTCAATCAACTTACCCGAATCTCCAAAAATGACCGGAAACAATGTGCATATACAAGCAACGCCACTCAGCAGCATGGAGAAACACTGGAGGGCTTTTCTGCCTGTGTAGTCGAGCACCACCAGACAGAAGATGTAGGCTGCAAGCTCCACCAGCGAGGAGAGGAAGAAGTTGAGGTAGATGTCTCCGGACAGGTTGCCTACATTGAGGCTGAGTCCATAGTAGACCAAACTGGCCACAAACCTGTCAGATCAGGACAGCTCACAGTCTTGACAGAATATGTGTTGTGTCTGAGTACTTGTGCATGTCTATTTGTGTGAGAGAGAGAGAGACACGGAGGTAGTGTGCGTCTGAGTACTTGTGCATGTCTGTTTGTGTGTGTTGTGTGAGAGAGAGAGAGAGAGAGAGAGAGAGAGGTAGTATGTGTCTGAGTACTTGTGCATGTCTGTTTGTGTGAGAGAGAGAGAGAGAGAGAGAGAGACACTGAGGTAGTGTGCGTCTGAGTACTTGTGCATGTCTGTTTGTGTGTGAGAGAGAGAGACACGGAGGTAGTTTGCGTCTGAGTACTTGTGCATGTCTGTTTGTGTGAGAGAGAGAGAGAGACACAGAGGTAGTGTGCGTCTGAGTACTTGTGCATGTCTGTTTGTGAGAGAGAGAGAGAGAGAGAGAGAGAGAGAGAGAGAGAGACAGACAGAGGTAGTGTGCGTCTGAGTACTTGTGCATGTCTGTTTGTGTGTGAGAGAGAGAGAGAGAGAGACAGAGGTAGTGTGCGTCTGAGTACTTGTGCATGTCTGTTTGTGTGTGTGAGAGAGAGACACGGAGGTAGTGTGCGTCTGAGTACTTGTGCATGTCTGTTTGTGAGAGAGAGAGAGAGAGAGAGAGAGAGAGAGAGAGAGAGAGAGACAGAGGTAGTGTGCGTCTGAGTACTTGTGCATGTCTGTTTGTGTATGTGAGAGAGAGAGACACAGAGGTAGTGTGCGTCTGAGTTCTTGTGCATGTCTGTTTGTGTGAGAGAGAGAGAGAGAGAGAGAGAGAGAGAGAGAGAGAGAGAGAGAGAAAGACAGAGGTAGTGTGCGTCTGAGTACTTGTGAATGTCTGTTTGTGTGTGAGAGAGAGAGAGAGAGAGAGAGAGAGAGAGAGAGAGAGAGACAGAGGTAGTGTGCGTCTGAGTACTTCTGCATGTCTGTTTGTGTGTGAGAGAGAGACACACAGAGGTAGTATGCGTCTGAGTACTTGTGCATGTCTGTTTGTGTGTGTGTGAGAGAGAGAGACACAGAGGTAGTGTGCGTCTGAGTACTTGTGCATGTCTGTTTGTGTGAGAGAGAGAGAGAGAGACACACACACAGAGGTAGTGTGCGTCTGAGTACTTGTGCATGTCTGTTTGTGTGTGAGAGAGAGAGAGAGAGAGACACAGAGGTAGTGTGCGTCTGAGTACTTGTGCATGTCTGTTTTGTGTGTGAGAAGGAGAGAGAGACACAGAGGTAGTAAGCGTCTGAGTTCTTGTGCATGTCTGTTTGTGTGTGTGAGAGAGAGACACAGAGGTAGTGTGCGTCTGAGTACTTGTGCATGTCTGTTTGTGTGTGAGAGAGAGAGAGAGAGAGACACACACAGAGGTAGTGTGCGTCTGAGTACTTGTGCATGTCTGTTTGTGTGTGTGTGTGTGAGAGAGAGAGAGAGAGACACACAAAGGTAGTGTGCGTCTGAGTACTTGTGCATGTCTGTTTATGTGTGTGAGAGAGAGAGAGAGACACAGAGGTAGTGTGCGTCTGAGTACTTGTGCATGTCTGTTTGTGAGAGATAGAGAGAGAGAGAGATATAGAGGTAGAGTGTGTCTGAGAAGAGAGTGTGTGTGTGTGTGTGTCTGTGTATTTGTGCATGTCTGTTTGTGTGTGAAAGAGAGACACACAGAGGTAGTGTGTGTCTGAGAAGAGAGAGAGAGAGAGAGTCTGTGTGTGTGTGTGTCTGAGTATTTGTGCATGTCTGTTTGTGTGTTAGAGAGAGACACACAGAGGTAGTGTGTGTGTGTGAGAAGAGAGAGTGTGTGTATCTGTATCTGAGAGAGAGAGAGAGAGAGAGAGTGTGTTTATCTGTGTCTGAGAGACAGTGTGTGTATCTGTGTGTGTCCTTGTCAGGGAGACAGAGTGTGTATGTTTAAGAGAGCCAATGTGTTGTGTTTGAGTACTTGTGCGTGTCTGTGTGTCTAAGAGAGAGAGAGAGAGAGACAGAGATAGAGACAGAGAGAGACAGAGAGAGAGACAGAGAGAGAGAGAGACAGAGAGTGAGACAGAGGGAGGGAGAGGGAGAGACAGAGCGGTGGTGTGTGTTTGAGAGACAGTTAGAGATTGGAAGAGAGAGTGACCGAAAGGGAGGGGTTTGGGAGAGGGAGGGAGAGGGAGGGAGGGGGAGGGAGAGAGCGGTGGTGTGTGATTGAGAAAGAGACAGAGAAAAGAGAGTGTGAGTGTGTCTGTGTATGAGAGACAGAGTGTGTGTGTCTAAGAGAGAGTGTGTGTGTGTATGAGAGAGAGTGTGTGTGTCTGAGAGAGAGAGAGTGTGTGTGTGTCTAAGAGAGCAAGTGTCTTGTACTTGAGTACTTGTGCATGTCTGAGAGAGAAAGAGCGCGCGGTGGTGTGTGTGTGTGTGAGAGAGAGAGAGAGGGAGAGAGAGAGAAAAGTGTGTGTGTGTGTGTGTGCGTCTGAGAGTGCGTATGTCTAAGAAAGCAAGAAAGACTGTTTCTGAGAAACTGTTGTATGTTGCTTTCTGTTGAGTCTGTCGACAAGGTCTTGTGGATATTTACTGTAACTTTGTAGCTAACATTCACATCACCTCTCGAGAAAAACAGGTTATTTCCAATATAGCTCTCACTGACAACTTGGAAGTGGAGGAATGACATTTATTTCATTTATTTCTCTCTAGTGACTGACAACTTGGAAGTGGAGAAATGACATTTATTTCATTTATCTCTCTGTGTTGACTGACAACTTGGAAGTGGAGGAATGACATTTATTTCATTTATTTCTCTCTACTGACTGACAACTTGGAAGTGGGGGAATGACATTTATTTCATTTATCTCTCTCTACTGACTGACAACTTGGAAGTGGAGGAATGACATTTACTTTTGACATTTATTTATTTATCTCTCTCTACTGACTGACAACTTGGAAGTGGAGGAATGACATTTATTTCATTTATCTCTCTCTACTGACTGACAACTTGGAAGTGGAGGAATGACATTTATTTCATTTATTTCTCTCTACTGACTGACAACTTGGAAGTGGAGGAATGACATTTATTTCATTTATCTCTCTCTACTGACTGACAACTTGGAAGTGGAGGAATGACATTTATTTCATTTATCTCTCTCTACTGACTGACAACTTGGAAGTGGAGGAATGACATTTATTTCATTTATCTCTCTCTACTGACTGACAACTTGGAAGTGGAGGAATGACATTTATTTTCATTTATCTCTCTCTACTGACTGACAACTTGGAAGTGGAGGAATGACATTTATTTCATTTATCTCTCTCTACTGACTGACAACTTGGAAGTGGAGGAATGACATTTATTTCATTTATCTCTCTCTACTGACTGACAACTTGGAAGTGGAGGAATGACATTTATTTCATTTATCTCTCTCTACTGACTGACAACTTGGAAGTGGAGGAATGACATTTATTTCATTTATCTCTCTCTACTGACTGACAACTTGGAAGTGGAGGAATGACATTTATTTCATTTATCTCTCTCTACTGACTGACAACTTGGAAGTGGAGGAATGACATTTATTTTATTTATCTCTCTCTACTGACTGACAACTTGGAAGTGGAGGAATGACATTTATTTTATTTTTCTCTCTCTACTGACTGACAACTTGGAAGTGGAGGAATGACATTTATTTTATTTATCTCTCTCTACTGACTGACAACTTGGAAGTGGAGGAATGACATTTATTTCATTTATCTCTCTCTACTGACTGACAACTTGGAAGTGGAGGAATGACATTTATTTCATTTATCTCTCTCTACTGACTGACAACTTGGAAGTGGAGGAATGACATTTATTTCATTTATCTCTCTGTGCTGACTGACAACTTGGAAGTGGAGGAATGACATTTATTTCATTTATCTCTCTCTACTGACTGACAACTTGGAAGTGGAGGAATGACATTTTTATTTCATTTATTTTATTTATCTCTCTCTGACTGACAACTTGGAAGTGGAGGAATGACTGACATTTACTCTTGCTGGAAGTGGAAGTGGAGGAAAATGACATTTATTTCATTTATTTTTATCTCTCTGACTCTACTTTACTGACTGACAACTTGGAAATGGAGGAATGACATTTTTATTTCATTTATCTCTCTCTCTACTGACTGACAACTTGGAAGTGGAGGAATGACATTTATTTCATTTATCTCTCTGTGTTGACTGAGAACTTGGAAGTGGAGGAATGACATTTTTATCATTTATCTCTCTCTACTGACTGACAACTTGAAAGTGGAGGAATGACATTTTTTTCATTTATCTCTCTCTACTGACTGACAACTTGGAAGTGGAGGAATGAAATTTTTTTCATTTATCTCTCTCTACTGACTGACAACTTGGAAGTGGAGAAATGACATTTACTTCATTTATCTCTCTCTACTGTTTGACAACTTGGAAGTGGAGGAATGACTTTTATTTCATTTATCTCTCCGTGCTGACTGAGAACTTGGAAGTGGAGGAATGACATTTCTTTCATTTATCTCTCTGTGCTGACTGACAATATGGAAGTGGGGGAATGACGTTTATTTCATTTATCTCTCTGTGTTGACTGACAACTTGGAAGTGGAGCAATTACATTTATTTCATTTATCTCTCTGGGTTGACTGACAACTTGGAAATGGAGGAATGACATTTATTTCATTTATCTCTCTGTGCTGATTGACAACTTGGAAGTGGAGGAATGACATTTATTTCATTTATCTCTATGTGGCTGACTGACAACTTGGAAGTGGAGGAATGACATTTATTTCATTTATCTCTATGTGCTGACTGACAACTTGGAAATGGAGGAATGACGTTTATTTCATTTATCTCTCTGTGCTGACTGACAATATGGAAGTGGGGGAATGACTTTTATTTCGTTTATCTCTCTCTACTGACTGACAACTTGAAAGTGGAGGAATGACATTTATTTCATTTATCTCTTTCTACTGACTGACAACTTGAAAGTGGAGAAATGACATTTATTTCATTTATCTCTCTCTACTCACTGACAACTTGGAAGTGGAGGAATGACATTTATTTCATTTATCTCTCTGTGCTGACTGACAATATGGAAGTGGGGGAATGACATTTATTTCATTTATCTCTCTGTGCTGACTGACAACTTGGAAGTGGACGAATTACATTTTTTTTCATTTATCTCTCTGTGGCTGACTGACAACTTGGAAGTGGGGGAATGACATTTATTCCATTTATCTCTCTGTGCTGACTGACAACATGGAACTGACGGGATAAACATTTATAATTTCAACATTGTGAATTCTTGAACCGCTGCAATTCTGTCGCTAGCACGCTTGCCTTTCTGGCCGGTGGTCGGATGTTCAAATCCCTATCGAGCGCTGTTTCAAACTTGATGAAGCTTCAACGTCGATCTAGTCTCCTAATATTCTAGAAACTAAATACGATCGTCGTGATATGGACAACCTCCGATTTAGCGTTGACTGGTATTTAACTCTTCTAGTACCAAAAGATTTGTTAGATCCCAAGTTGTTCCTGGTTCTAGAGCTGTGTCTGACGCTGCCAATGTTAGAGCATATGTTTCATGGTATGCATTTATCTGTCTGTTGTGTTGCTGTGATTGCTATTCGACCTATGCTTGATTAATATACATTTCTGTAACCCATGGTGCCATTTCAATGGCTTGAGATTGATTCTGTCCGAATTTTATAGTTATGGAGTTCAAGCTGTACAATAGACATGGCCAGTAAAGATACCTTTTTATTTGGGGCGGAAAAAAGGGGGGAGGGGGTGTGCCTAGCTGGTCATGTTCTTAGTACACTTTTTTCCATAGCTAGGCGCATACGCCATTTGGCAGGTGACAGGTTCAATTCCCGGCATGGTAACTATGGCTTTTGACTATTTTTGTCTCTAGTGTGTCTTTCTATGAGTGCCGATCAATACACTGTCTGTAATGTGTGAAGTCCTGCCTAAAGACAACTTACATCTACATATTCACACACACACGTGTCAGCCTACACTGTTTCATATAAGATATTACATGCATGAGACAACGTGGTAGTCACTACAGAATTGTGAATAGCTTACCAGTTGAAGAAAATGATCAATGAACGAAACAACAGTCGAGGGATGGTAAACATTTTGTAGACGCTTTCATTCTTTCCTTCTTGCTCTAGTTTGGAAAAGTCCAGCAAGTGATCCGGAATTTCAGTTCCATTTTTTTTAGCTGCGTGCTGAAGGACCCTGGTGGCTTCCTCGTATCTGCCCTTGTTGACGAGCCAGCGTGGGGACTCTGGAAGTAAACTATGTGAAATTGGCAGTCAGTTGTGTACTGTTGTAGTGAACCTTTGGCAATAAGTTGTGTACTGTTGTAGTAAATCTTTG